TCCTTCTGTAACCATTCCTGTCACAATAAAGATCAATTATAACTTGTGCTTATAAATGTCTTATGGAAACAAAGTTCACAACCTACCTAGGAAGACAAAATTGCACAACAGTTTGGGAGTGGTTAGGCTGGTTGAATTTTGCCTTTTCTCTCTCCAGATGGCATCCAACTGTCCTAGAGTGGAATCTACTCAAGGCATGCCTTGAGAGTATAAAATCAAATAAAGAGGGGATGCCCAAATTATTTCTTTTTGCATAGACATGAGTAGCTCAGTGTCAAACTCTCTTACTCTTTTGGAATACATTTTTAAGCACTGAAAGATGTTCAACTGTTACATGTTGCATTTTAAGTGCAGACTGGGTAGCTCAATATCAAAATCTCTTACTTTTTTGAAATGCATTCTTAAGCACTGGAAGATACTCAACCCTTATGTGTTGAAAAAGAGCCATGTGATATTTCTCTACACATGTATGTGGCCTACCTACACCCCAGAGCCAAAATGGAATACAACTAAAACCATACTGTGAAAAAGAGAATGGTCAGATGTCTTTTAGGTTCAAACTTTTTTTTTACATTATTAAGAAATAATTCTTATTTATGCTCAAAGTATAATTATAATCCATCTGAGACTACCCCATTCATAAGTCTCTTTCTCTCAGTGACTTAAAACAAATCAAGCTAGAACTAAGAAAATATTCAGATGACCACAAGTATATCAATATCTTTAGAGGACTTAGACTTATAAGCTAGGCTGGAAAGATGTAATGTTACTCTTAAATCAAAACTGACTTCTAGTGAGAGACAAACAGCATTAAAAGCTACTGCTGCATTTGGAGATGAATGTCATGTTACTAGTTTTAGAAGGCCAGAAGACAAATAGCCAGGGGAGACTACCAATTACAAATGGATCGCAAGCAGTCCCTATTGAAGACCCGCCTAGCAACTAGACAGGAGATTGGAATAGGAAACATTTACAGACATTTTTTAGACATATGTTCTTGAAGGTCTAAGAAGAATTAGAATTAAACCATTCAACTTTAAATTATCAGCTAAAAGGACACCCTTTTGACTTCTTAGATTGTTTACAAAAGGCATTGATAAAACATGTGTCCTAGATCCTAATTTATTCTTAAAGTTTATTACCCAGTAAGCCTCAGATATCAGAAAAGGTACAAAAGATAGATTTTTGTTCCAGGTATTTCATTTGATACTTTAGTTAAAATTGCCTCTTTAGTAATCTATAATCGGAACTGGCAGAAAGCCAAAGAGAGAAAACAAACAGACCCAAAAGTAGCTGCCTTTGCTGCAGCCCTAAAAACAAGAAATAGAGCTTAAATCTGACTTTCTCACCACCAAGAAGAGCTCAAAGACTAGGCTCAGCTGCCACTGCTGTGGAAAGCCAGGTGACCTCAAGAGGGACTGCATGAGAGCCCCCCCCCCATCTATGCTCTGACTGCAAAGGCTGCCACTGGAAGCAAGACTGCACCCTGAGCAGAAGCCCCAGAGTTCACATTTGTATTCCCAGGTGGTCTAGCAAGACCTTGGGCACTCTTCTTCCTCCCTCCGGCTAGACTGCTATTTTTTTCTGTCATCCCCAGAACAAGCCCTGAGTAATCATGATTAGAGGGGAAAAAACAGCCAATCGCTGGACACTGGCACACCCCTCTTTCCCTTCACAACTCTGGCCTTCCTTCTAAGCAACACAAAAGACACCCCCCAAAAAAATCTTGCTTAAACTGTAACTAGCATAACTTTCTCTTCCCTCATTCATTTGAGTTATACCTAAAAGCCTAGTTCTCATCCTGGAGAGATTTTATCCTGTCTAGATACTGTAAAAAAATTGTATTATATCTATTATCTATATATCTATATCTATCTCCAAGTTGCCAACTAACCAAAATGATGCTGAGACTGGTTTTTAAAAATGCAGTGCATATTGCTGCTCATGTAAAAAGCTTAAGAAGAGTTTTTCACTGGTCTAAATAATATATTAATCTTGTTCTCATATGTCATAAAAATTTAGTTATAACTAAAACTAAAGGGACTTAGACAACATGTCAGACTTCATTAATAAAGGGGCCTATGAGCCAGTGGGTTACAATTGCTATCCTTTAATAACAAAAACAGTTTCTAAACTTACCTGTCAGCTCTAATGCTCATGCTTTGATCATACATGTTCTAATATCTCAGAATATTTGTTCTTTCCTAGAGGATGTCAAATCCTAAGGCATCGTACAGATAAAACCAGTAACATATGCTAGATTCCTTTTAGATTCTTTTACTAGGATCCATCAGATTTTGTCCAGAGAGTTATATGATACATAATGAGACCTTAACTAACTATACTAAACAGGCCTTAAATGACACAACTGTTCTCTCCCTCTCCTAAATAAAAAATTAAATAAGTAAGATAAGTCACCCTCCAAAATTGGATGGCATTAGACATTCTAACAATAGGGGGTACTTGTACAATTATGAAAACTAAATGTTGTATGTACAATCCTGATTCCTCTGCTAGTATCTCAATAGCTACTCAAGATATTATTAGATAACAAATCAATGACACATCAGACTCTAAAATTCCCTGGACCTTGTCCTTAACCTTATAGGAAGCCATTCCTAGCTCCTCTTGGTAAAAATCTTTGCTGACTGCACTCGTAATTATCCTGTTGATTCTATCACTTGGCCCATACCTACTTATTTCTTTGCCTTTGTCTTCTCCAGACTTAAAGCTGTGCGCCAGCCAAGCTGAAAATGCCTGGTGTCTATTAAGGACCTTTAGATAGACCCTCTGTAGAGTACCTCTGACTACTGATCAACAACTAGGACCTTTTCAGCCAGAAGAAGCCAGATCAGTCATCTCCATTACTCCCTCTTAGTTTGGAGTACTTCTTTAGAGAGGGTAATGTTATGGGCAGATAAGTTAGATAGAAATATTATGGGCAGTCAGACAGGGATTGGCCCTTGAAGGGAGCAGTGCAAATGATTAGGTATCTTGCAATGTTGGGGAGAGAGATACTTCCTGCTGCGGGCCAGATCGCAAAAGAAAAAACAAATGCACCAACATACTTCCTAAGGATAACCATCAGGGACAGATACTCTAAGGAGGTATCCATCACCTTAAGGAAGCCAGAAGGAGCCACTAACCCAGCCTCCTACAGGGAAAGGCTGTGTTCTGCATTCATGGCCACTTGCTACATTACTCACTTTCCCATCTGATCCTGGTTTAATCACTTCTACCTGAGCAATTATACTCATGATCTTATTGGCTGACCATGGTTCCATTCCACTTCATGGTTCTACCCCACCTTGAAATTTCCTGTTTTTCCCCACCTTAGACCTGCCTCACTTTGTAGTTTTGCTCTATCAAATTCCTAGAAAAGGCAGGGTCCTCGACAACCCATTCAGGATTCCTTCTGTCTCTTAGGCAGAAGCTTTCTTTCTCTCAATAAATATATTCTGCTCTTAACCTCTATCATTCCTAAAAATTCATTCTTTGATTTTAGAGAACACAAACTCATACTGGACATCTAGTAGATTGGGAGATTTCTTCCCCCTATTTCAATAAGATGTGATATCATATCATATACTATAATTTATCTGCTACTCCTATTTTCTTTAAAGTTCTTTTTATTTCCCATTATTCATACCTATTAGTCCTAGGCCTTTTATCATGAATAACTTATTATATTAAACTTTTTCTTTAAAAATAAAGTTCACCATTACTGTCCTAGGACCTCAAACCTAATATGAACCTTGAATACATACAAATCATTTTTTTTAAAAACCCAACCATGGGGAAATTGTTTTCCATGAACCTGTTTCCTAGTGCCATAAAGGTTGGTGACTACTGACCAGGCAACGCTTAGTAAGCCCTTAAGATCTACCATCCAGGCTGATCTGTCTTCTTACAACTGTTGCTTTTGCTGTTACCAAACAAATGCCCTTTGTAGAGAATAATTATTTGGCACTTGTAAATTATTTAGACTTGAAGGCTTATGAAATTTTTCCAGTGTTCTCTAGTCAGGCAAAATGACACAAGTTTTGATAACAGAAACACAAGCAACAATTAAACCTAGATTTTAAACATCCATGAGTAGGCTGGACTTTAAACATCTGCAAGTTAACTCAGTGGCATAAGCGCCTGCCTGGCAAGTGTGAAGTTGAGTTCGATCCTCACTACCAAAAAAAGTAATTAATTAAATGTAATTTAATAAACATCCACAAGTATAGCGTTTGATAAAGAATTCTCAGTTTCTGCTTTTTTGTCTCACATCTCAAAATATTATAGTGAAGAATTGTTTGTGAAGAAAAATAAGTAAAAACAAACTTCCCCCCTCTTTTCAGACACAAGTAAGCACTTTTTATGCTTTAATCAAGAAAAAAAAAGTTATTCTGCTTTCTAACATAAGCCAATTTAAAGCAGTATGATCATCCAATCTTGAAGTTGGTTTCAAAAAAAACAAACTTGAACACGCCATACACCTTTAAAAAAGAAAAAAATCCTTGATTGTTTGCTATGCTAATATCTGAATACAATTCATGAGTTTGGGGAAAATTAAATCATGCAAGAAAGTTCAACCATGAGCAACAAGCTAATGTATACTGTGATTCTGGTACTTTTGTGAGAGAGTTGTTTCCGTTAATTACTTCTGTGATTTTATTTGAACCAGTATTCTGAAACAGTACTTCTTTGCACATGAGGCAAATGTTTTCTTTTCTAACCACTTCTGCCTCTCAGTCTTTATTTGTCAGAAGTAAATATAACATCAGACAAATAGCTTGCAACTATTTATTATTTTTATCCAAGCATAACTAGCCCATACTCTAAACTGGTATAGCTGTTAGGGGCTGATCAAAGTTTTATTTTATTTTTGCTTTCCATAATCTCTTCAAATGTATCCAAGGGGATACTGGAGCAGATTCCATAACTATTTATACAACTACTTAAGAGACCAAAAAGAATTAAACTGTCCAGTTTTGAAGAAGCAAGGAACTGACCTGGTTGTAAGAGGACATCTGCGCTATCCTGCAGGGTCCTGCTTCAAGCCGCCTCCTGCTGGGGGTGGGGAGGGCTAGCTTCTTTTTTCTCCATCATCCAATCTCCTGCTGGCCAGTCTCTCACCCTTTCCAGATCAAGGCAGGAAACAGGCCCCAATTTGGTGTCTGCACACTCTGTGAATGTCTGAGTGGTGCTCACCTGCCTTCTGCTGGCTTTCCTTCCTTCTGCTGCTTCTGGATTTCTGGAAACCAGCTGCTGCAGGAGCCTCATTTTTACCCAGCTCTCCCCACTAGGTGGCCTCACGCAGGCCTCCAAGAAATCCTCAGGTATGCTTTGCCCATGAAACTTAGGGAAAGCAGGTGATGCAGCTGCCTATGCCACCTAATGAGCCCTGTGCAGGCAGGAAACACATGTACACCTCAATTAATTATCCTTTAAAAGTCCTACCACTAGCACTAGGCTTGTGATAAAGTGCCAACAAACGTCTTTCAAGACATTTTCCCAACAACCCTCAGGCACCTCCCTCCACAGGACTAAAGACTGAAACCTGCCTTTGCGTGCTACGCTTCACCCCTACCACTGAGGGACATCCCAAGCCTCACCGCTCAGATTTTTCAAGTGGCCAATGGATTCACAAGTTTCCAAAATGTTCTCAAATATCTATGCTGACATTTCTACTCCATAGACTAGCATTTTCCTTTGGAAATCCACAGAACTTCAAAGAATGCCTTAGTCAAAAATGTAACTTAGTACTCTGTTATATCACACACACGTGCACAAATGTTTAGGACAGACAATTTCCAATTAAAGTTCACTTTTACTCTTATTTCTAATAAAAGTGGGTAATTTGAACATTATGCGGGCTCTCAGGGACATCAAATTCAACACACATGCACACACCCAGTGGTGACTCTTAACTCTCCGCAATTCTAAAAGACCTAGCTTGATTTCTGGTCCTAATTCCACTACTTGGAACAAACCTGCCTCCTGCTATTCAGATATCAAGGACTGGTTTCTAGAATCTGGCCAAGGTTACTCTCTGCCAGCTTTAATTCTCCTTGTTCTTCATTTGGCCTAATTCTAGACCCTTGTTGTCCAGGCCACTTTACCATGGATAGCTTGAAGGTGGTCCTGTCTGTTATAAATATAGTGCCCAGAATTAATTAGGGAGTAGAGTGGACTCTGTGTTTTTTTGATCCAAACATCATAGGGAGGGAGTAGATGGTGGTGGCCTGGGCCCAGGTTCTAATTTCATCTCTATTATTTATTAGCTACGTGACCACAGGGAAGTTATTTCGTTCTCCCTTAGTTTCTTCATCCATTAAATGGGAATGGTGATAATTCTATTTCCTCCTTAGGGGGCTGTCACAGGGCTGATTTCAAGTTGTAAACACTCCTGACTATGCCTGACAACCAAAAAGCCCAACAAAGTGTTAGTAAGGAAGGCCAGACTTTATCAATGAAATCCGCTGGGCTCCTGAGCAGCTGCTTCCCATACTGGTTCATTCAGAGCTGGTGAGCTACTGAAATTCCAGATTTTTTTTTTTACATGAACTGATGCTCAGTGGGGCTGCTTTATCTTTTACTGTTTAAACTGACTCTTTGACCTGAGTGCAGAAATAGACCTTTAACTCCATTGGGAGCCAAACACTCCAGTATTAGATTCTCTTGTCCAGACATGATAACACGGGCCTCAAAGCTTATCCTTCTAGATTTACCCTTACTGCAACTCTGACTGATGTCTCTTTTATGTCTTTATTTTGGTGAGTGACACAAAATATAAGGTTAGGGACAGAGCCACCCTCTCCCCTCCTTATTCTTAGCTATAGCAAGGAAGTCCCTAAATGCCCCTGCAAAGACAGACACACTTCATCTTGTCTATTAATGGGAAGGGTCAGTGACTCTGATTTATCTGTGGATCTCTGGTTTGGGGGACCTCTGTTGTAAAATGGATATAACAGTCATCTTGCCACAAGGATCAAAGGGGACGGTGTGTTAGGGACACCTAGCCAAGGTACAGTCATCCTAAAGACATTAGAAAGTCAAAAAGGAGGAATTCAGTGGTCATTTCATGGCCATTTCACAAAACTCTCATTGGTGAAATACAACAGCATCTGGAGACCCACAGAAAGAGAGAGAAGTTTACTCTGCAGAGGCCCAGTTAATGTCATTTGCAAGGTAGACAATTACTGCCACTGTAATGGAGGTAGCCAAGGTTAGGTACGTAAAGGCAGCAAGGTAGACAACACAGGCTCCTACATGCATGCATGCAGAGTTCACAAACAATATCCTCACTCATGCAGCGGATTCTGATGTTTTGTATGGAGTTTTATGTTTTAAAATATGACTCACTAAACTGGTTTCATTACCTTAATGAGTCTTAACTCACATATGAGGACAGTAGACAAAGCATGCTGCAGTCTACAGTCTAGCAGATTGACAGAAAAGGAAAAGAAGTTGTCTGGCAAAAATTGTTGCAAAGGTTTTCCTGGTTGGTTTTGAGCTTTTGTTGTGGAAAAAACCAATTGTTCTGGAATATTGCCAGAACTCAATGTTTCTCTCTTTTGAAAAGTCTTCTAATTCAATTCTCAACTCTGCTGGCTTTGTTCTCATCTCTCACACCTATACAAGGTTGACTTTTTGTTCCATTTTGTTTTATAAAAACTTTCACTGTTTTAGGGAGCCTGTCACCAGGACCACAATGTAGGTATTTCAAGCTTCCAGATCTTCTTACAGGTATTCAGGCAATCAACCGCTCTCATTTTTGAAAGGAGGGGCAGCAACTCTACCTGACCCTGCCCTCTGTGGATATCACCCCTTACCATATCACCAGTAATCTCCCTCTTCACAGCCGAGGCACACAGCGGCCGGGGCCTCTGATCACCCCCACCTCATCCTCGAAGGTTCAGGCCTCTGCCCAGCACCTGTTTTGGGTGATATACTCACCTGATCTTCCTAGTCCTCAACCAGACTCACAGTCCTAGTTTGCAGAACCCTCTTCCCACTGTTAACCAGGGGAGGAGGGGGGTGCGGGAGTCAAATGGTAAAATCTACCAATTATCTCAACCTTAATATCTTCACTTGCACACTGGAAATGCTGCTATTACCTTTGGGGCTTTCCTGAGAATTAATGTGGGGGAGGGTACCAGGAATCAGACTCCAGACTTCAAGCCTGCCAGGTAAGTGAGCTAAATCTTTGGCCCCCTAACGATTAATTTATGTATAGAAGTTCCCTCTCTTCACTGAAGTGGCATGGCCACATTCCTCCTTTTGCTTTGAAAACATCACTGACTGTTTCACTGTTTTCAGATTTAATCGAGTGTGATAATCTGAGCGTCTGGGTCATCTGAAATGCTGTGGAAACCATAAAGCCTGAAAAACAGATTTCCAATGAGGCTACTTTGAGGAGATGGTCCTCCTCGGATCATTTCAGAGAAAAGGAAGGCTTTGTTCTCATCTCTCACACCTATACAAGGTGACTGTTTTCTTCCGTTTTTGTTTTATAAATGCTTTGGCTGTTCTAGGGTGCCTGTCACAATACCCTCTCCTCAGCAGGATGACCCACGCAGGGATCACTGGGGAAACCCTACCCACCGACGAGGCGCTCGCCTGGGCCAAGCATAAGGTGTTTCTCGGGGCGCTGAGCCCCAGGGCACCGCGGGCAGGAAAATTTTCTCACCTGCCAGCAAGGGGTGGTGCAGGAAGCCCACCCTGGCCGGGCGCCTAAGCTCCCAGCTCTCTCGGAGGCTCTCTGCAGGCTGCAGGAAGGTTCAAACTTGAGTTCCCTGTCTTCCCGTGCTCTCCCCTGGGCACCCCCAAACCCTGTTCCTACCCTCCCACCCCCTTCTGCAGCCCATTCTCCTCTCTACCCTTCACCTGCCAAACTGCAAAACAAAACAAAACCAGAAACGGAAAGCCCACCGCCGTGGCCCCTGCACACACCCGCACCCCGGCTCTGCTGGGCCCGGGCGCCCCGTCCCGCCCCGGGTTACCGGCTGGCGCAGCCTGGCGCGCGGCTCCGCCGGGTCCCAGCTCCCAGGCCCGGTGGCCGCGCTCGCCGCCCAGACCGCTCCGGCCGCCGAGCGCAGCGCGCTGCGGACACGGACACGGACACGGACACGCGCGCGCCGACAGGGGGCGGGGCGGGGCGCAGCGGGGACCACGAGCTGGAGGGAGGCGCCTCCCAGCGCCGGCGGGGCGCGGGCAGCCTGCGGGAGAGCCCAGAAAACCCTTACAGGCTCGCTGCTCCTTGCGTTGGGTCAGAGCCTGCTGCAAAGGAGAGGCAAAAGAATCCTGTTTGTTTTTTGTTTTTAACTCTTCTTTGGCTTTGCAGTGGGTTTTGGTTGCTCAGGCCAACTCTGAACTCAAAGAAGGAATGGAGAGCAGCGTGGTTTGAGCCTCTTAAAAATCCTCAGCATTGGGTTCAAGTTCAGGAAGGTCTGCGTCCTCCATAAGACGCTGGGTACCAGGAAGCTCAGCTCAGGGCCTCCTCCTATCCACAGAGCACCTGCAAACAGTCAACTGCATGTCCTTCAAGCAGGGCACCAAAGGGAAGGATTGGGCCAGGCTAGTTTCACATTAATAGGCTGGGCTAGATCCTTCTCCCTTCCAGCAAATATTTATTGAGACCATATCCCTTGCCAGACAGCAGGCTCTGGGGATACAGCACGCTAGAGCTTATATTTACATACATAAAATGTGAAATGTTTCAGAGAATCATAAAGTGCTGTGTACCGAAAACAAAAACAAAAATGAATGCAAGAAATGGATGTTTGGTGAGGGACAGTTCTAAGTGGCTGGGGATACCCTCACAGTCCAATTAGGACGTTAGGAAGTGAGACTGCGGTATGCTGTCTGGAGTGAGAGCCCTTGCTGTGTGCTGCACTGAGACGTTTACTGTTCGGATATTCCAGAGCAGGCAGATAGTAGTCCTAGTTCTATTTTGCGAATGCAAAAATGAAATGGTAGCTGAGAAAGTTACAGAAATGCCCAAGATCTCCGTAGTAAGTGAGGGAACTAATTAATATCCAAGCACAGAAGCCAGGTACCCAAACCACTCGTTTAATGACAGCCATTCTGCATGGAGGAGATGCCACCGTGAAGCACACGTGCAGTGCAGGCTGGTGGTGCCAGAAGAGATGTCATTCCTGGAAATGACATCTGAGTCACTGATTCTTTTAAAGTAGCTTCATTTTTGCATGTAAAATGAAATATTTTGGAAACCATCTTCATAGCTTGGGTGTATATGCTGCATATGCCTCATGCATAGGCAACTGAATTTTAAACAACATAATCTGCCTGTGATGAGAGTTGTTAGTAGCTCCAGAGCCTCTAGTTCACTGCAAGTTGTACGTTCCTTTCATAGGGAAGCAATCTATCACCCTGGCAGCAGAGAGGACACTGCCTATCCTCAGTGTCTGCTGAAGCTTCAGAGAGCATGGGGACAGAATCACTGCTGCTGAGAGGCAACGGTGCCCACAGACAAGGTCCACTTTCGCTGTCAGCTTCAGGGGACCTTGTTCTGCTCAGAGTACCATGGGGTCATGAGGCAGAGAGCCAGGGAACATTGTCCTGTGTAAAAAAGCTGGGTTGCTCATCATTAGTTTCAGAAGCCAAAGCTGCAGCATCCATCATTAATAAGACAGCAGAGCTCATGTCTCTGCTAGGTAGTTCCACGTTTCCACGGCTGCATTTCCTTCTTCATCGCAGCGAGGGTGGCAACACCTTTCTGCCTATCCTTCAAGGTGCATCTCAAATGCCACTTCTGCCAAGAGGCCTTCCTCTGCCCAGCTACAGATGAGCTCCTCACTTAAAACCTGATACCACTCCTATGGCATCTGGCCTTTTCCACTTTAGAGCAGCATATATGTTTTAACTCCAATTACGCCTACTTTGTTTTGTTTCTCGGCAGTATCTTACATCTTGCAGGCACATAATGAGCGTAGTCTTGTTGTTACTAATCTGCAAGAACCCAGATTCTCTGTCTTAATCTTGTCTTTGCATTCCAAATGTCCAGCTCACAGAATCTAGTAACAAGACTCAGTTATGTCATGATAGATGTTTGCCAATATAAGCTAATGAACAGTCTGCTCTGAGGTAAATTATATTTGCCCCATTCCAAGATTGGAAAATTTGGTTTTTAAAAGTAATTTCCTTAAGGTCACAATACTAACCATTGATAGAGTCGGGACTTAAACCCAGAACTGTTTGCTTCTAAATGCGTGCTCTTCGCCACAAGCTCATACTTCACAATATTCAGTCATTGCTTCATGCACCGCCTCGACCTTTTGACATTTATAGATATTGGTGCTCAGCTCTGCACCAAGCACCAGGACAACTGCAAAGGTTAAAAGGTTAAAACGCTGTTCTTGCTACTTAGAATTGCTCATTATCTAGTAAAAGAGACAGACAAGTAAAGACATAAACATCTATAAAATGTCATAAAGACCTATAGGAGCCTTTTGTTTCATTCAGTGATGGGAAGTGAAAGATGATAGGATTCACAGAGAAGACAGACTGTATGGTTTTAATTTTGAAGATATATAGTATTTTCTTACAATGGTAATGAAGTTCTTGAGTTGTAAACAGAAGGATAATATGCAAAAATGAACAGTGAACACATGCAGAGGCTGGTCCTCTAATTCAGGATTGCAGTGTGGAGAGGATGGCGGGATGAGGCTGAAAGGATTGGCAGGGACAAATTGCAAAGGTCCATGGAGTGGCTTCAAGGAGTCCACCATCTCCTATAAATGCATAAAAGAGTGTTTGTATATGTGCATGTCAACAGGACTGACAGGCAGAGAAGCTACATCAGGGGTATAAGAAAGAGAGGTCAGTTTCCCTTCATACAGCCCGTTACTTGAACTGTGAACTACAAGTAACTCCAAGGAACTATGATACTAGCCAGCATATGCTGAACACATGGATTCTGGATGGATGCGTAGCTCACCCTTGTTATATTGGATCCAAACACACCATTTCTGGGCAAGAAAGCTAAACTCCAGCCCTTTCTACATTTGTATCCTTATACTTTCCAAGAATGAGCAGAGGGAAGTGCTGGGTAGCTGGGAGGCCAGGAGGTGGACCCTCTTACTAGGGTCTGGCAGCTGAGAACGTGTCGTGGGGAGACAGAAGAAAGCAGGTCTGCAGGGAGGTAGGACTCTGAGCCTGTTCCATTGAACCATCACACTTCACGTACCACAATAAGTTGCATACCCCCAAAATCATATGTTCTGACCCCTTGTATCTCAGCATGTGACTGTACTTGAAAACAGAGCTTTAAAGGAGGTGGTTAAGGTAAAGGAGATCATTTAGGTAGTACTAATTCAACTTGACTTGTGTTCTTAGAAAAAGATTAATACATAGAGAAATACCAGGGGCACATGAGCACAGAAGGATGACCGCATGAAGGGACAGCCAGGGGTGGCCATCTGCAAGCCAAGGAGGGAGGCCTGGAGCAGAGACTTTCCTTATGACTCTTAGAGGAAACCAACCTTGCTGACACCTTGATTAGGATTTCCAGTCTCTGAACTGTGAGAAATAATTTTCTATGTTTTAAAGCCCAGTAGGGGGTATTTATGGCAGTGCCAGCAGACTTAAAAATTTACAGAACAACAGTTCAAAATTCATAGAAAAATTTTTATTAATTTAAAGATGGTGACAGAATAAATTTGAAGGCTGTGGCCCTCTCTAGTCACAGAGTTCTGCACCTCTGCACTTCATGGGTTAACTAACCCCATGAGGCCAGATCTTAGGAGTGGGGGAAAGGAGATCTGAATACAGCATGAGATCTATCAGTGGAGAAGTGTGGCTGAGGCTAGGACGGATGGATGTTCTTTGGAAACAGAAGTGAGAAGAGAGGAAGGCTGATATCAGAATAAGTAGCTAGAGAAATAAGACACAAACTAGAGGTGTAGAACGCAATAGAAAAATGCACAGTAATGCCTAAGGCCCAAGGTCATTTGATTAAGAATCAAAGCTCTTAGCTTAGAGGTCATATGGTGGGAACTGGGGCAGATTGCTACTGGAAAGGAGTATAATCACAGGCTGTTCTGCCAAGGAGGCTGCAGAGGAGGGAGTGGCATGAGGTGCAGACCAATGCAGGCCAAGGGTCCAGGAGGGCAGGAAACTAGCCACACACTGTTACCAAGGTTACATCAGCTGTGCAAGGGCTAATGGAAGGGTTTCCAACAAAAGCTCCATGTGGCCTCACTATAATGTGAAGTAGAGCTAGAGCTTTTCTTGTTTGTTTATATCACCTGAATCCTCTTACTAGAGCTACAAAAGCAGCAACTATGCTGCTTCAGTTCAACGTGAGAACTGTCCCTGGCATCTAGTAAACACAGCAAACATGGCGAATAAATGAATGGGCTGTAAGAGGGAAGAAAGGTCATGTGTATTCATGTTTCAGAGACTTAAATATGCTTACGGATTGAAAGCAAGGACCCAAAAAGAAGAAGGAAATTGAAGACTATTGAGAGAAGAAATAAGATACTAAAATATGAAAATGAGTCAAAAGAATGTTAGAGAAAAAAAGCTGAATCTTTCTTTGGGAAATGAATTTATGTATCCATTTAATGGTTAGTATCTTGCATTGCTTTGGACCTTTTGGGGATGGTGAGCTTATGTGAGGGGCAGGGTTTATAGAAAGAAAAGATGAAATATATTCATTTCCATTTGTTCAAGATGACACCATCTAGTTAAGAAGTTTTTCGGGGAAAAATATACAGTAAAGAAACACATCAAGTACGTTCCCATTTACCCAGCATTTCTCTCCCTCCTAGTCCTATTGTTCCCCCGACAGAGCTGTGCAGACATCCACCCACAGAGCGCTGCACCAGGCAGACAGAATGTCTAATGTGTTTAGTTCATGCAGTCGGAATGATGGAGCTGTGAGCAGCTCTGAAATGCCACCTAAAATACATTTCATGACAGAGTGGGGTCCGGGGAGAGGAAGAAGGAGACCAGACAAACTGGGGAGAAGCTATAACCACATGGGAGTCGTATGTATCTCTGAGCTGTAACACTGAAATATCACTTTCCCTCCAAATTGGATCTGTGCATTTTTGGAGTGAATTTCTGGCAGATTCTTGTATGTTTACTATCACACAAGAATAAGAGCTC